AAAAGTTTTGGATTGTTAGCCTCGTGAATTATTTTATTGATGTAAATGATCCAACACGATATTGAATTCTAATGAAATCAACATTGTGAGTGTAATTCACTACAAGAAAATTAATTTCCCTTCAATAATTCGACCAAAAGGGCATATAAATAAATATTACGTCATCAACATACATCCTTTCGTTACGGAAGAGAGGATCTTAAAAGCCAATCCTTGGTTCTTCTATTACTTTTTGCGCCACTTTGGCGCCACTTTGTAGGGATTAATTTTGTCTGCATATTTTGTTTTCTTGTAAAGATAAGACAAACAAGAGATAAGACAAAGTGCCTGTGTAATGAATTTTCATTTCATTTTTGGGACAAAATTCAAGCTCAGAGCTACCTGCCTTTTCAGCTGGATTTTCAGTGTCAAATTATTTGTAGAGTATCTCAGACCACATCTCAAGACTCAAGGCAAGTTTCCAAGCAGCTTTGATGAGTTTTGTGGTGTTTTGATTCCGCCTTTTCTCCTAGGGAATGTTGTCATGAACATACCTATTACCAACCATTTGACTATACTAATAGATCGTGCTTTTGCAACATGAATGAGCATTCTTCCTTACATAGACCACAGTAGATTCTTGACAATTCTAATCAACTAAATCTGTGAAATGGTGAGGTCCATGTGTTGCTACCCTCAGCAATGTAACTTCTACCACAATATGTATTTTGCAGTGGCTAAGAATTGACTGAACTTGGACTGAAATGCCATTTCCCATTATTTTCCATCAGAATTTACCAAATATTTAAATTTTGAGGTAGAGTAATAGCAAATAGAGGTTCGGTCAAATTTCGGTCAAATTTTGGCTTGGGATGTTATCGGTCGGTATTCGGTCGGAAATTTTTCCCAAATTTTGGTTTCGGTCGGTATCGGTCAGACATTTTTTTGGAAAATGACATCACTAGTTTCGATGCAAGGGAGCAGTATGGATACAGAATACACATGCTAAATTAATAAACATTCCTGACAAATTTAAATTTCACCTTATATTTTATGCAGGCAAGGAGAAACGTAACTTAGCTTATGATCTATATATTGGACTCCATGACCCTAAAATCATCCCCTGTGATTCACCATGAGACGGTTCGTGCGTTCCCCCGATGAAGCTGATTTCTGCGGCTGAGACCACTCTGATTTCGGTTTATAACAGCTCTCAGGCGCGACACTCATGGACCACCTAACTGCAGAGACTACCAGCTGACCCAGTGACCTTTACCCGGGACGAGGGGCGTTAGACAATCAATATGGATGTTTTAATGACCACTTCAGTTTAATTTGGTGTTCCCAGTTTACGTTCTATCATTAATCTTTTATATTTTTTCTGATTTTTTAGGTAAAACACATTTTTATATTGTCTTTTATAAAAAATACAGCAATTATTACATATTTTATTACTATCAGCTTATTGCGCAACTTATAGTTTTACGTGAATTTATGACTATATTCTATTTAGCATTATACTAAGCGCCGGCTGTAAGCTTGACATATTGAAGCAAAGGCGTAGAAAGCAAACATGAGCCGGAGGAGAAATTCGTAGCTCTTCCATTTTTTTTTTAGCCTTTTGAAAATTGTCAGGAAGGAATGATTTACATACCAGTACAAAGGCATAAGTCCTCGATGAGCTATGTTTCTTATAAGGTGAGTTTAAAGTTTTGCTGCCGCCCGCCTCTACTTTTGGTCTGAGGCTTCTACTTATGGAACATGATATCCTAACAGCTGCTTATACCGATACCATACTTAGCTCCTTATTGGTTTTTAGCGTGCTGCCAGTAGTTTGAAATCGAACGTTGGATACTATTCGAGTGGAGACTGGAGACAAGTTGTAAAAGTTATGCTGGTTGTTTGTGAAGCGGCGTATAGCTTGCACTAATGCAGGCTGTAACTTTCTAAATTAGCCGTGCTTCTCATAAACAGAAAAATGCAGTAAAGCTTCAGAGAAGGTGTTAGCTACGCTAATTGGAACTATAAAATTAGAAGTAAACTTAGTCCAAACATTATTGCACAAATTGAATCACATAATATCAATAACAACTGCCCTCATTGGCATATTGGATCCATGAGTGTAAGCCCGGCAGTATTAGGCTGATACAAACGAACTTGAACGTAGCCAAAGGAGGCGTCCACTCTATCCGGCTGTTGATTGTCATCCATTTGTGATGTGTTGACGTGAAAAGCACCTGCTCCTAGTTTTCAGGCTATCCAAACGACCTTCTGATGACTAAGCGTGCGTGTTTATCAAATAAGTGGAGTGGAAACTAGGACTATCAACCACAACTGCTGCCATTATTTTTAGCTCGGATGTCTTTCGGAAGGAAAAAGGAAATAATTATTGGGCATTTTAAGTATCCGGCTGGCCATAGAGAGGTCCGCAGCTCATGTGACGTCAATGTGGAGGCGTGCATAATGATTGGCTACGCTATGATAGCAAGGTTTGTCGAAAAGTAAGCGGATACAATTATACCGTCACAGTCAACGTCACTGTCACCATTCCGTCACTGTCACCATTCCGTCACTGTCACCGCCACAGTCACCACCGTCACTACAGCCACCACCACCACCACCACCACCACCCACCAAGCACCACCAGGCACCACCACAACCGCTACCACCGATCCAGGTGACGACCTGACCGCCGGCCCGCCGCCGGCGGACTGGCCGACTCGACCCACCGCGCGGCGGACTAGCCTAGCCGACACACCGGCGGACTGGCCGACTCGACACACCGGCGGACTGGCCGACCCGCCACATGCCGCGCGGGGGACTGGCCGGCCCGCCACATGCCGCGCGGGGGACTGGCCGGCCCGCCACATGCCGCGCGGGGGACTGGCCGGCCCGCCACACCGCGCGGCGGACTGGCCGGCCCGCCACACCGCGCGGCGGACTGGCCGGCCCGCCACACCGCGCGGGGGACTGGCCGTTCGGTAACGGGCGCGGGACAGAGGCGAGGGCTGCGGCTGCTGCGGCGGTGACATAGACGGTGGCGGTGACGAGGAAAGGTGATTTTCAACTGCGCCGAACCTCGGTGTCCAGAAGGACAGTCGCATCTTGATCATATTCTTCTCCTCTTTCAACGTGCCCTACGTTGTTTAATATTACATTCTCTAAATCATACACATTCTTTATAGCTTGTTTTTAACCCTATTCCTGGCGGGGGGGCCTCAGGAGCCCCCCCCCTGAGGTTTTTTGGTTATTTCTCCCAAACGCGTTGAGCTAGGAAGCTCAAATTTTCTGACTTTTCCTTAAAGGCTTCTACGCAACATGTCTGAAAATTTTGAGTTGATCTGACCTCAGGTCAGGTCACCAGAGGCGGTTTGGTGACCCTACCTCAGAAAAGTTTGCAATCACGCCAGAGCTAGAGTTTTTGACCGATCAATTTCTTCTCTTCAGGCTTTAGTTAGGGTACCAGTATGTGCAATTTGTATATCTCGGAATTTTGATATCGGTGACCTAAGGTCAGGTCAGTTTCGCGACCTCCCCATTATAAGTCAATGGGGGAAAAATCAACCCCCTGTTTTTACCACTAAAACGGGTCGGAATGGCCCCATATACCATACATGACTTCATATACGATCAACCTTCACTACCTTGAGGTCTGTTTTGCTGTTGGGCAGCTGTGAGGTTATGTGACGTCATCAAAGGTCACCAGCGGTTTTTGGCCAATCACTCCGTACAGGAACAAGATACAGACGCGTGGATGGTTTCATTGTGTTCAGCTCGTCAAGACGCATCGAATGATATACATGATGACCTCGAGGTCACGTGACCTGAGGTCAACCTTTGACCTTGACCTTTCGAGGTCAACATATATATCATTCGATGCGGATTGACGAGAGGATCACGATGCTGCCCTTAGTTTGTTCCTATCTTGACTAATTCGAAAGTTATTCGAGAAAAACTCTCTCCATATCTAGCGCCGCCATTTTGACTTTTTCGACCCCTGTGACGTCATCTTTGACCTGACCTGAAAATGACCTTAGTAAAAATTGTAGATCTTGACCGTGCGTATCCGATTCCGTTTACCGTTTGTCGCTGCGATGTGTAGTTTTTGAGATCTGAGGGGGGGCCGAATCGGCCCCCCCCCCCCCCGCCAGTTTCTTGTCCCGGCGGAGCCCGCCAGGAATAGGGTTAAATGAGAACGGTTAACTGTAAATTTATTGTTGCGAAATGCAAGTATATGGATCAAGTTTCTTGTTGACGTTGTAACCGCTATCCATCCGTGGATGTAACACTACCCCAGACACTTCAAACACTAGAACAGGGCTGATTTCCCGTGCCACGTGCTGGTTAGTTCGTCTATGCCTTCAGCTAGGTGTGCTAATATCAATATGGTGTCTGTGGATCACCTCAACAAACTCTGAGTCCAAGTTAGAGCACACAAGTGTGATAATTTTAAAATGCCATTTGTGTCTCGCTGTGTTGGAAATAGATTGCTAAGCAAACAGCATGCTGAGAACGTAGAGCAGCTCGACTATTATGTGACACCCGTCAGTGACGGATTTATTTTACCGCGCCATCAACGGCGGTAACTGGGTGTGTCGGGCGTCTCTGCAGCAGTCTACCACATTAGCTGGGCCATGTGTTTTATTGGCAGGAAATCGATCACTGCTGTTGATCCAATGAACAGTCGGAACAACTATCGAGGCTGCCATGTTTACTGGGTAATCACCTGAAAAGGAATTTGTTCCGGCTCTTGAACAGCCGTTCGATTTATTGGATGAACAGTTTAACAAATGCACAGGAGATCTGCGCGCTTCTTGAATTAATTAGCGTCGTCGGTCGGACCCATTAGCTTACCACATACGACCAGATCGAGGCGGATGTAAGCATATTGCCGTTTCAGCCTATTTGAGCTATAGACTATAGAGCCTCGTGGAAATGGGTTGTTCAAAATGCTAAAAATTGCTTTCATGCACCTAAATGATTTGAAATTGACAGCACTCTTCCACACAAAAATGAAAGTTGGAATGACTGCAACTAGTATTAGAAGACAAATTCATGAGACTTGATAAGTCTCAGCATAAATCATGCCCGTATAGACCCGCATACCAATGCTGCGCCAAGCGGTACACCTTCGTTTATTTAGGAAGCAGACTGCTTTGGTCCGAAGCAGTAAAAAAAAGACAAAAAACTAACGATTGACGCGTAGTTATGCCTCGGTTTAGATGTCAAAGATTGAGATTCACCGTTCCTGAATTGCTGCCTCGGTGCGCCGCCAGTGCAGATTATAACAAAGCTGAGTTTCACTCATCTGCCACAGCAGGTCAGTGGCGCTACCAGTCTGCATGAGCACCACGGCGCCACTTGCGCTCTATAATACACAGCACACAGAGGGCCCACAGATCGGGCCGAACAGAGCCGGTCCATCCGGGTACTCAGTACTCACATGAGGTCGCCGAGCCGCAGGGTCTTCATGTTGGACTGGACGAGCGCGCAGGACTTGTGGTCGCCGATGCCGACGGCCCGTCGCCGGCGCATCCCCGGCTCTGGCGCGTCTCCATCGGGCACGTTGAGCGTGACGCGCCTCTCCGCCGGTCTGTCCGGCGGTGAGACGCGCTCGGCAGAGGTGGCCGACGCCGGCCGGCCCTCTGACGGCGCGTCAGCGGCCCCCTCGCCCTCCTCCGGCTCGTCGCGCTCGTCGAGCTGGTCGCGGTTCTCGCGCAGCCGCCGCTCGCGACGCTCCTCCAGCTGCTGGGTGACGAACAGGGACTGACGCCTGCCGCCGGCCGCCGGAGGGATGGCCACACTGCTCCGGCGGCGGCTCCGAGCCGCACTGGCAGCCAGCATCGTGTCTCCTGGGGGTCAGAGTGCAACGGGTTAGACAGGGTACCGGTTAAACCAGGGCACCGGCTTGGAGAGTGGTCAAGGTATTATGGAGTCTTCTTGAAGTGTCAATAAACTAAATAGCTAGGTAGTCAGACAGCGGGTCAGTGCCGGGGGATAACAGGTCATACATTGGGCAGAGCACAATGTCAGACAGTAGACAGAGCCAGGCAGCAGAGACGGTACCCGGTCAGACATAGTACCGACCAAGTCAGAAGTGATGGTTGCTCAGGCAGGGTGTCAGGTCAGACAGACTAACAGCAACTGGCCGCCACCTGCTGGACGCTCAGCCAACTGAGCCTACCGTCCCCGTTGGCCGTTACCCAGGACAGATGGCGCTGTGTACGATTTCAGCTCGTTGAACATGGACGGTCACCATGGGTGCAGATGGGTGGAGCCGCGCACGATGGAAACATTTTCTTTTATAGGTAGACATGTTTTACATTTTAGGTACAGTCAGAGGGCAGCTGTTAGTATACTGTACTTAACTGTACACTGTTATTATGAACTCGTTCCCATTACAATTTGGAAAGCAAAAATCACTCTACAATAAAGAAATAAGAAGGTATTCGCCACTGGCGGCTATGCAAGATGATGTTGAAGGGAAACTGTTGGATGTGCTGCATTGGACTGTAAGACCATAATGCGCATGGAACCAAAGACATGTCGACTATCAATTCGGGGCAGCTCCCTCTCCCTCAGCCCAAAGCAAGGAGCAATGGAGCGACGGAGCATGAGCATTGAGCACCACCACCTGTTTCCTGCCTTGACGCCAAGGTTACCATCCGTCCGTCGGCGCGGCGCCAGACTGTACGAGCCGAGCTTCGCGCCGGCCGAGACTGCCTGCGGTGGTAGGCTGTTCCGCAGCACTCCCGTGTCTGGCGGAACAGGCCGGTCCACCCAATGATCGCTGTCGCACTATGGCTGACGAGCTACGGTTGACACTAGGCGAAGTTTATCTTACTTGAAATATGATATGCTGATATAACTGCATGTAGTTAGAAGGAATCCTAACAGGTTATCATTACTCAATGCTCAACAAGTATTTTGGTGAACGGGAAACGATACATTATTCGTTGATAGGTGAGCGTTGTAAGAGAAAATTGGATCTTTTCTGTACGTGCCTTGAATATTTTATCATGATAACTACAGAGAGTGAGACTCGTTGATACTATTCACAATATATAGTGCTTACACTTTCAACCATCTGCATCTGCTTAATTTTTGAGCGAGCGTATGCGCCTCTGATATTCTCATTTAGGCAAAAAGGAAAGTCTCAGTTATTTTCAGAACACTTTTGCTTTTCTCCATTAATGGCTGCGGGATGTTTCAGCAACAGGGACTAAAAGTGGGTGACCAGACGCATAATATATGTATACCGCCGACGCTGGGCCATTGTGCAGCAGGCTGAAGTTAAAAAACGCCGCTGCGTCCCGAACTCTACCGCGAGAGAGGAACAAAGGGTCTGCGCAAATTGAAACTTGCAACAGTGTTATCATAAACTCATATGCATGCGCCTCCCCTTGAATACGGTCTAGAAAATACAGGCCAGGGGATGAATGTTTAATTAAGTGATTCCGCTCAATGCATAGGTAAGTGACTACCACTAAAATCAAATAAATGCTCCAACAAATGCACCTAAATTGTATATTGCTATGTGTTCTTGATCAGAGAAAAAAAATATCAGCGCATTTTACCAGCAAAATAACTCATAAAAATATAGCCCCAATGCTAGTCAATTATGTACAGAAAGCTATTAGGTATATCATTCCGCTGCTATGTCATAAAGCTATTTCCGAATTCATGAAAAGTTTTTGAGGTGTACGATGAATTAGTAGGTACATGCAAATCATGCATACAGTGTCATCCACATGAGCAACAACAGGCTGTCACAGATAATTCCGTAGATGGCCCGTAAAAGCCCAGCTCGCATATCGTAAAACGGAGCTGTTTCAGCGCGGGTCTGTTCTTCCCCCGTATAGCCGGCTTTACGACTTTGTTGTTTTCCTGCCATTCGCTTAACAGAGAACAGATGAGTGAGGAGTGTTCCAACAAGAGTGAAGCAAGTTGAGTTAGTGCATCAGCTTCCTGCAATCGAACTACAGCAGCTCGGGGAGTGATCATTGCCCGGAATATTTCCAATGGTTTGAAGCTAGTTGCTCGAAGTATACCATAGTCTCATCCATGACCCTATCAGCTTCCCTGGAACCATGAATACACAGACATATGAAAACCTTGTTTACAATCTGGTGTTGCATGCTATTTGATGCAAACTGTTGTAGCTAATTCCGCGTGGGAGCGGCGGCCTGTCAATAGCTGTCATTTTACGACAGCAGATTCATGAATAAACCAATCGAGTTACATTGGACTGGCGACAGCTCCTCTGTGCACTCCGCCCACGCATATGTGAAAATCTGACACATTGGTGACAGCATGCCATCGTCGGGCTCACATCAGTTCATAATCCAAGTGACCAGTCTAGATTTAACCTTTCTACCAGAAATCCGCTTCCATTAATGCAATTGTATTTTTACCGAGATTATCAGATGCTTATCGACGTTGATATTGAGATGTGACCAATGTCAGGTAAAAGCGGAAGCAATTAACGATGAAGTAAGTAAGTACAACTACATGAAAGTGCCATCGAACCTTTATGACGCGAGGAACTGAGCCTCCGTACACTGTAAAAATGTTTACTATTTTTGTAATTTCCTTGTTATCCGGCCACTTTTCACAAACAAAATGCGAGTAGACTTCACTTTTCACAAACAATGTAATAATTTTACTTGTTAATGAAAAGTGGCCGGATAACTAGAATATAAGTAAACATTTTTTTTACATTGTAACCATGTAACCGAGCCTGCGCGCTGTGTCACCTGATCCCGCCGTCCCTCTCCATAACGTCTGACCTGGCGTCGGAGCCGGACAGCGTTATTGGTGGTGCCCGCTGCTGGGAAATGGAGTCTGCCTGCCCGGCTCCACAGCGTGCCGGCGTCAGCAGCCGCCGCCGCCAATAGCCTCGCCAGCCGCGACCTGTCACCCGGCAGGTGACCAGCGGTCACGGCCAGCGGTCACGGCTCGAGTGACTCAGCAGACCGATCGGTACACTGCCTCAGCCAGACAGGACCCTCTGTCTGTGCTGGTTGGTGTCGTGAAGTGATGTGCAGCGTGTGCAAGAAATACATTGCATTATTTCATCATTATTCCAAGAAGGAGAAGTAAAAAAGTCACCGCGCTGCTTCTCCTCCAAGGAAACTTAGAACAGGTGTTTCGCAAGACCTCGGTTCCGTTTCCATTTTCGTGTCCGTGTCATCCGTGTCCGTGTCCGTGTCCGTGTGTCCGTGTCCGTGTCACCTGAACCCCAGTCTGTCGACGTGACCTGCTCGGGTTCTCGCGGCCGAGGCCCGGCGGTAGCTCAGCCGCCGTGCGGGAGGCTGCCCCGGCTCTCGGCGCTGCATGGGGCCGGCTCGATAGTTCTGGGGCGTCTCATCGACACGCCTTTCCGCCGATGTATCGGCCGACATTCCGCGACGCCGTGTCGGAGCGCACGCAGCGCCAGACAAAATGAGATCTGCCCGCCCACCTGCGTTCCTCCGCCAGCAGAGAGCTGGCATGTTAAACGGTAGCAGATTGGTGTAATTTATTTGGATCATTTCTGGTAAATTGCCGAGTAATGGTGTTGCGTCGGAGCGGCGTCGCTCCAGCAGGGCAGGTTATCGATCAGCACTGTGCTGCAGACCTCACTGCCGAGCCGTCAGTCGTTCAGACACACTGAAACGCACGCTAAAAATATGAGCTCGGTGTGCGAGCGCGCCGTTCAAGACCGCCTGGCCATCCGGGACGGAGCTGGTTCTGGCACCCGCTGTCTGTCGGCAACTGCGGAAACACGCCAGCTGCGCCAAACACCAAGGCTTCTGTTCGGGAATTTAGTAAATGACGAATCTGACTGGTCTGCTCAGAGAGATTGTAGCCAAACCCAAAGGGATATTTGATTTGTAATTTTTAGTTTGTGATTTCCAGATTGTTTGCATTGCTATTCAGTTGAGCGGTGAAAGGGCGAGGCGCGGCACAATCAGGTGCATTTTGCAAGGGCTTATATAATGCTTATAGGTGTTTCTACTCAGAGGATGTGGTTGAAATCGCAGTGGCAGGCTAAGTGGTTTGGGCCCTCTTGCCGAATATCAGTTTACCTATTGCGCTCCCTGGTAAAGATAAATGGTAGCTACCAGTATCGCCTAAAATGTACTGTATCTGATGAATGTAACATATCCTGTAAGTGCACCACGTTCCATTACTGACGTCTCCAATTCCTTGATTCGGTTTTCAACCGAAGCAGGCCTGGTCCACTAGTTCAAGTGAGACACCACCCTGGATTGTTTTGTCCGTCCGCAGGGCGCAGCTCGACAGCGGCAGCCAACACTTGCAGACCACCACAATGGAGTGGAAATGGATGTCAATGCCTGAAGTTCAACAGTTGGTAGAAAGTTTAATGATGCGCTTGAGCCGGATTAGTCGTGAAAGCTTTTCACTCTCTAATGATCACTGATGCTTACGCTTTCAACCTTTCATCCAAGCCAAAATGTCAACAAGCCAAAGAAAGATGTAAGCGTGTTCGTGATTTGACGCTCATGCCATGCTGTTCCATATTCACTGGTGCCAATGACAAATAGAAAAGAAGTCAGTACCGTAAGACCATTTATATATATTTACACACATAATTATAAACAAAAACCAATCCGAAAGAGAACCGGCCAGGCTCAGCGCCGCGAGGCCCCGAGGGCCCGTTATAAAGGGACGGGAATGTGGTTGCGCCTCTGGGAGGTCGTGGAAGCAACCACGTGATCCGTCATTTCCCCGGGCACGGGTTACGTGCCGTCAGAGCCGCCAGGTGAATATGAAACCCGATTATATAATTTCCTCCCGATACTGAAACCGCCAGTCGCTAATTAAGCATAAAACTAATGAGCCATTA